AATCTTAGGCCTCACTTCATAGCCTTTTTGACTCGAGTTATTAAGTCTGTTGGGGTATCTCGAAACCCGGTACCCTTTGGTCTAAACAATCGGGGAGTTATCGACTTAAAACTCGCTACAGGGGTCAAAAAGAAAGCTTAAGGGTGTGAGGTCAATCAAGAGCTTTAATTGAAAAAAATCTGATTTGGTGCAATTGTTTTCGAACATAAGCACAACTTCCTTCATTTGCTATTAGTTAGAACATATTTGTGAATTGATTATACAATTTTACACTCATTGATTTTTGGCAAGCTGTCTAATATGTTGATCTTTTTCATGTGTTGCTTGATTGTGTTGTAGATAATCTTGCTCGAGACGAGCAAGAATTTAAGTTTGGGGGTATTTGATAAGTGTATTTTTGCACATTTATTTAATATCTAAATAAGCTTAAATATTAATTAAATGAGCGAATTTCTACTCACAATTATGTAAGTATTGCTTTTGTAGGTCATAAACCCAAATGAAAAGAAAATAAGGTAAAAATGAGAGAAAATAGATCAAAAGTGTACAAAAACAAGAAGATAGGGGACCAAAGTGCACAAGTTAGAAAGTTAGAGGACCTTAGGTTGTAAATTTTGGAGGGCAAAATTGATATAAAGATCAAAATTTGAGAACCCGATTGTACATGACCAAAGTTGAGGGACTTGGCGTGCAATTATATGGAGGACTATGATGGACAAAAGAAAGGAAAAAAGACCGTGCTCGCTCGCAAGCTTAATGTGTTTCTCGCACAGAAAGAGTGTTTTAATATACCGAAACCAAAATGGTTACGTGGTGCACGCGCGCCAAGAACGCCTGTGCTCGCGCGCCGCCTTCTGGCTGGGCAATTTTCTCTGTTCCGTGTAAATTTAGGGACTTCTTCTGCAATTTCACCCGAGACAATTTGGCTCTTTAAATACCATTTTTTGTTCAATTTTTTGGCAAGATTCATAGGAGAACACTTCAAGGGGAGAAGAGGCAAGAAAAAGAAGATAATAAGCAAAATTTGGGAGTTTGAAAGGGATATTCAAGATTTCAATCCCTTACATTTTCAAGAATATATTCAAGGGACGGTTTTCTTCCATTATCTTGAATTTTTCTATTATCTCCTTCATTTTGTAATGGGTTCTCTCTTTATTTCCTTTTGTGCTTCTATTTTACAATAGGCTAAGTGTTTAATGTTGGGATTTATGGGGTAACTTGACCTAAGTTTCATTAATGTCAATATTTATCATTTAATGCTTTAATTACTATGGTCATTGTGCATTTATTATTTTGCGTAAATTCTCATCATGTATGTGGCCAATAAATGATTGAGAAAGGTGGTTTGTGCAATCATTAAGAGATTGTTGTGTATTCTTGACCAAAATAATTAATGCCCTAGGTTGTTTTAGGAGATAGAGATATACTTCAAACTCTAGGTGACTCATTGAGTTTTTTCATTTCAATTTAATGCAGTTAGTTGGATTTTTATCAACATAGAGATATGGTAGGTAAAACCAATCAATTAGGGTTAAATTCGCTCGAAATAGGTAATTAACTAAACTTGGAAAATCGGGTCTAACATGTTAACTTGGTAATTTGCATTTCCGGTTTATTGCGATATTAAATAAATGACGGTTAAGTGACATCGTAAATCCCAACTCATTTATAATTCGAATTTCCTTCTCTTTCATAATTGTTATTTTGATTGATCTTCAGATTCATTTTCGTTTTTCGTCTCACATATAAAATCAAATTGTGTGTTTTCAATTGTTAAAATTGAGTCCACAATTGTGTAATTAAAAAAAAAAACTCCTCGAGGGATCGATATTCGGACTTACAAGTCCACTTTATTACTTGATCGCACCCGTGCACTTGCGGTATATAATTTTATCGAACAGTTACCCTACAAATTTTCATGATAAAAACTACTATGTCAAAATTAGAAAATTAATTTCAAACAAGTAAAACTAATGAATATCACTTATTAACAAAGTCCTATTATTGATAATTTTAACAAAATATTATTTAAAAATATTTTATTTGTCCAAATAACTTAATTAATTTTTAAATACATTTTCAGATGGTTACTTTTAACATTTCTAACTATTTTAATAAATTAGTTCATAACTAAAATTTCAATACTTATTAGCTGTTTACATTATATGGTTATAAGTAAGAAAAAAGTGAGCCATAATTATAACCCAAAAGAAAGTCTGAAATAGGGATGGGAATTTTCATCTATTTGTTTTTCTATATTAGAAAAAAGTGAGCCATAATTAGCTCATTTATTTGTTTTTCTATATTACTTTGAATGCTATTTATAGTGAAAATTATTGATAGTCGTTTTATGTGGCATATACATAGCAATTTATTATTTGATGCATGAGGCAATAAAAGATTACCACATTAATGCAACAAATAACAAATTGTCTTGTGTATATCACATAGGGCGACTATCAATATTTTTCACTACGAATAACATTACTCTATTACTTTCTACATACTTTGCCCCCAGAAACTATCGGATCCAGGATGGAAGGTGAGCACGGGTGGTCACTAGACAGCAGCTTGAGCGGCCGTTTTCGGAGGATCGAGCACAGATGACTGGTGACTGTCGGTTGCTGGATCCGTCGGTGGCCCCAATTCAATTAGTCCCTAATCGTATCGTAAATTTTTTTTCTTTTTTTAAATATGTGAAATGTTAGTTAAATTTGGTAACAAGTGAAAATTATCTAGTTCAAAAATGTAGTTTAACGCCAGATGAAGTCATGAAGATGAGTACGAGGTCAAGTGATCATCATATTTATGCACCTTTTGGACAAGAAGCAACGGTACTTCCCTTTTCTGATTTTTCTTCATTATCCCTCTATGCTAACTTTTCGAGAACTTCAACTACCTTTATGGTCTGTTTGATATGTTCCATTTTTTAGGGAAAATGAAAAAGTTTTTCCAATTCTAGCTTTTTGTAGTGTTTGATGGGTTCCATTTTCCCTAGAAATTGTTTTCTTCCTTCCCCACTGACGCGCCTGATTTCCATGCGTGAGAGGAATATGATTTCCTTTGGTTGGGCTGGTTTTTTATTTTCTAGCTTTAAATTTTATTTTATTTTTATTAGCAATTGGAAAAAAATCCAGACATAGTGGTAAAAAAAATTCTCATTTTTATTGACAATTTTCATGTAAAACAAAGCCAAACGAATGATATTCGGTATGGTAAATTTAATTTTTTTTTCATAAATTTTTTTTTTTTACTTTTTGGCAATGGAAACAAATTTTATAACTAACTGTGGAAAAAATTATCACTTTTATGGACAATTTTGATGCAAATGAAGACCAAATGAACACAAAATTTAAAAATTTTTCAGGTGAAAAATTATACCAATCAAACACACTTAATTAACAATTCCCTGTAAAACAATTTCTAGACAATTACTTTCCGTGAAATTCATTTTCTTTCCACTCATTTTTCACCCTTACAATCAAACGGACCCTTATTTCCAATTTTAATGCCATTTCATCATTCTAGTTAAGTTATTGTTTCATCATAAGTCATTGTTTAATCATAAGTCAACTAATCGTAAAAAAAAAAAAAACATAGATAAGATTCATCATACTCGCTATATAGTGACGGATTCAGGATTTTGAGTCGGCACAAACGGTCGTTGACAGCAATAAAATATTTAGAGCCCGTTTGATGCTCATTTTTTGCGAGAAATGCATGTTAGAATAGTGATTTGATGGAATATGTAGTTAAAAATAAGGAAAATTTTTAAATTTGCATGTAATATTATTTTGTTGAAAAATGTGTGATTAAAAAGAAAAAAAAATATATTTTGAAAAAAATGAGAATCAAACAAGATCTAAAATTTAAATATAACAATTATTTTGTTAAAACTAAATATATATAATTATGTTGTAGAAATTAGCAATATTCACCAAATGATATTGTGGCCAAGTTTTGTATAATTCAAAAGAAGAGCACGAGTTTGAATTTTTACAACTGCATTAAAACCGCTAAAATTTAACTTATATTATCGTGGTAAATTTAGTGTCAAAATTCAACAAGTGCCATAATGGTCAAGCTTTTAATAATCTCAAGGAGAGTTCCCATGTTTGAATCATCTCCATATTACATTAATTTTGGTAAAAATTGTAGAACTAAAAATATTTCACAATAAATTGGTTGGAAAGGGATTCGGTACCGGAACTTTTAATATGAATATGCAAGTTCTAATCAGCTGAGTTACAATAGATGTTTGAAAATGAAATGAATTATCAGCTATATAACCTAAAAAGTTTATCTACTGTCAACTAAAAAAAAAAAACTGTTTTCGGCCGATCCAGCACTCTCGGCCGTCGGGGCTCGTCGGGTGCTAGATCCACCACTGTCGCTATAATTAATTTGAATATCGCATGAAAATTAATTCTAAGTTGCGATGCTATCAAGAAGCCAAAGAAGTTGCAACGACAATGTCCTCTCTTTTACTACCGTGGAAGTGAAATCTATATCACGGGTTCTGCATAAAAATTATAACTTGCACACTCAGTAAATAACTTACGACTAATCTTAGCAGGAAAATATTTAATCATCGTTTCTACATTATATAATATAATAGATCATACAAATCCAATTTCATATTACAAATTCGAATTAGCAGATGCACACAATTTACTGACGTTTGATAATTTGTTCAACTATCATTAAATAGCATCACCTTTGTTTGGTAGCTGCAGTCAATTCAAAAAAATCTATCACTCAAGATTGTTATATGATATACGATAGAGAATGCCATACAGAATTAGATTACAAATTATGCCTTCAAAACTGGCTATATATATAGTACATGGCTCTCTCATCGTACATAGGTAATAGGTTCGCCACCCCATATAATATATTTATTGTTTTGCAGGTCCTTTTCGTTTTGTCCCCACAGCATCTGAGCAACCATGAATTACTTTAATGGAAACATGCACAAGAACAAGATTGTCTTCATCATTGGGGCGACTGCGACGGGAAAGTCTCGACTTTCTGTCGACATTGCTACCCGTATCCCATCGGAGATTATAAATTCCGACAAAATTCAGGTGCACAAAGGACTTGACATCATAACAAACAAAATTTCAGAGACGGGGAAGAAAGGTGTGCCACACCATTTGCTCGGGACAATCGAGCCTGACTCTGATTTCACGGCTGCTGACTTCTGCAATCAGGTAGTTGCAGCTGTGGAAGAGATTTTGAGGTCGGGAAAGGTTCCGATAATTGTTGGTGGATCAAACTCCTACATTGAAGCGCTCGTGGAGGAGCACTTCGTAAAGTTCAAGTCTCTTTACGATTGTTGCTTCATATGGCTTGACGTTTTATTACCTGTATTGTTCTCTTTTGTATACAGAAGGGTCGATCAAATGGTGGATGCAGGTATAAGAAATACGTGCTTCATTTAATTTAACTTATAAAAGTAATTAAAAAAGAAATAGCATGAATTTTAGTTCGTGTTTGATTTCTTCTATAGGATTGGTTGACGAGGTACGAGGAATGTACGTGCCCAACGCTGACTATTCGAAAGGAATCCGTCGTGCAATAGGCGTCCCAGAATTCGACAAGTATTTTGAAAATGAGAAAGAAATGGATGAGACGAGCAAGAAGCTTGTTCTTGAAAACGTTATTGAAAAAATCAAGAAGAACACGTGCAAACTAGTTTTTCGTCAACTTGATAAGATAGAACGGCTAAAAAACGAGCTTAATTGGAATATTCACCGCATCGATGCTACTCCGGTGTTCAAGATATATGTGAAGGAGGAAGCCAGCAACGCTCGCAATCAAGGGGTCAACGATGCATGGATGGAGTCGGTAGTCAAAATTTGCTTTGGTATTTTAACTGATTTTTTTGGAGAAGATCTGAAAGTTGATGAAGTTGCAGAATCTATTACGGCTCCAATTCCTCCTGAAGAGTTGAAGGCTAAAAACTAGAGAAAATAGCAGCCTCAGCCTCATATTTTCTGCTTTTATTTGATTGTTACTAATTCATTTACACATTAAGATCTTAGGGGTGCATCTCTAAATAAAAAATACATATAGAGGCAATAAAATTTCGGATTTATTGAAATGAAACATTTAAGCCATCTATGCATCTTGTAGCAAAGAAATGGACAAAATGGGACTCACAAATCATTTCATTAAAGAATCGAAATTGCACACTCGTGTCAATTGACAATTACGAAAGCAAAATATGATACGATAGTAATATCCTCCAACCATGATACCAAAAGTCTATTCCCCGTTTGACAATCAATATATATATATTGGAGCCGAAAAATGTTCTTACGGAAAATGCGTTGTAAACAAATCGCAACTTAGATTCCAATAATTCCATCATCAGACTAATGAGCTTCTTGACATTCGTCTCAATCAATGGATTTTACCTTGAAAGTAAATAATCCTAAAGACATACTCCTAGCGTTCACTAACGGTCAACTACAGGGTCCGCTTTCAATGTGCACTCGATGCATTATTTTACTTATATACGGGATCTATATAAATCATACAATATTATTAATACAAAGTGTCCAACTTTATCCACCGATAGATATTGATATATTGTGATCACGTCGCAAATTGTGTGTCACCATACTTGACTCATCGAGTATACAATTTACAACATTTCTTGGGATCATGGAGACGTAGATTATCCACTCATAACAATAAACTAAAATGTCGACATTAGGAGGAGTTAGAAAATTCTCTGTCGTTTATTACTTGTAGAAGAATACATCTAGTTCAGTATTTTATGCAATATACAAGTCTTCTCACCGTGCTTAATGTCTACTGTTTAGGTAGGAGTTCTCCCTACAAATTATTCCCTTTGAATCACAAATTCCCCATAATCAAACTGTTAGACATTTATACTATATATATAATATGTAAAAGAAATAATTAATTCAGATGAAGTGTCCAATTGATGAAAAGTGTGGAATTTGTGTGGGAAGTCGGGGGTTTGAATGCGTGAGGTGTGACTCGAACCCCCGACCTCCCACACAAATTCCATACTTTNCAATTGATGAAAAGTATGGAATTTGTGTGAGAAGTCGGGGGTTTGAATGCTTGAGATGTGACTCGAACCCCCGACCTCCCACACAAATTCCATACTTTTCATCAATTGGACGATTCATCTGAATTAATTATTTATTTCATATTATACTTATTGTATAAATATCTTACACAAACAACAAAATATTTCCCAAAAATCACCCTATCCATCAATCTGACTCCTAAAATGGCTCTAAGGTTTCACCTTCTCTCCACAAAACTCCTCCCACAGCCCACAAATTTCCCCGCCCTCCCCTTCCCTTCCTATGCCGCCGCCACCACCAGTTTCATTAAATTCAATTCGAAACAACAGAAATGCCTAAAAATCTCATGCACCAACGAAGAAATCAGTACCGACGAAATGCTGGCAGTAGAACTCGACCTAGAAATCAGCAAGTTGAACACCCACAAGTTGCAAACAGAAGAAGCCTTGAAGAAAAGCAGGGAGCTATTATTCACGGAATTGTGCAATTTCATGGGATTGAAACCGGAGGATTTGAAGAAGCAATGGGAAAGAATGAATGAAGAGGAAAAATGGGTTTTGGCTAAAGGGTTTGTTACAGAGTGGAGTGCCCATTTTCATCCATTGTCTGCCAAATCTGTTAAAGAAATGGTTGATGAACATTTGGTTGAAGAAAAGCCACCTTCAGTGGCGGCTTCCAACAAATTCTTCCCCAATTTCGGAAAACTGATTGGGTTTTCCCTAAATTAGTGCCTTTTTTCCCCTAATTTAGTGTTTCTGATAGATTAGACTGGGTGAGAAATACTTTTCAAAGTTAAAAATTCGCTCTTTTCTTTCTTGTAGTTACATTATTTGTTTCTGTCTGTACCATTCTGTATAATTTTAGGAGGAGAAAAGTAAGTAAATCTAATTTTGCATTGGATACTAATGGCAAATCAAGAAACCATAAAGCAACAAAGAATCACTTGTCTACAATGGCATTCAGTTAAGTAAATACATTGTAAAAGTGTAACTGAAGGAATGAAACCTAAATTTGGATAACTCTATTACAGAAGCCCAAGGTACCAATGGGCTAATACTGAGAACCACAAAAAATCTTAGTGAAGAAAGGGAGGTATCGAACGACCATAACGTACCATGTCAGAAGTACAGTTGCTTGCACCTTGCCCCCAAAGCACCCAAACCACCCAAAATATAACCGGGACAATACGGACACTTGAAGTTACAAGTGAAGCTCTTCGAAAGTTTAACAATCGACTGCATGCAAAGAACGTGCCCGCATGGCAACAACATTGGTGGATTATCTTTGCTACCTTGATCCCTGCTAACTGGACAAACAAAAATGGAATGGAACTGAAATTCCTCACCCAACTCCATGGGCACAGGTAATTGTTTCATTGCAAGCCACTCATCTGGCTTTGCAGCCATGATTTTCGCCAATTTTAACAGAGTTGGCAATCCCTCCACTGCGGCAGCTACCACCACACGGAGAGGGTTCCGAGAGGATTGCCCCATGAAATTACAGAACTGCTGAAAAAGCTCCTTGGACAACGTTTCCCAACGTGTTGGATCAATCAAATCAGAATAAGGGGACCTGTCAAGTTTTCCTGCCCACAGAATGCTACCCATAAGCTTCTGTATCTCGTTCATATGACTAGAAGCTAAAGGAGACAGGCAAGTTTTGGCATAGCTGATGGCATCTTCTCGGGTTCCATTCTGCAAAATCTCAACAAACCGCAGCTTGTGAAGTTTTAGCTCAAGATTTGAACCGGACTTCTCTAGTCTTGCACGGTTTGCTGAAACCCAAGTGAAAGCAGGTACAACATTCCTAGATTTCATAGCCTCGAGTATTTCATGCATCTCTTGAAATTGCAATCTGACTAAAATGGCATCTGGTTCACTGGCCTCGTTTATTAAGCAGTCTACGATACCGAATTCGCCTTCACGGCAAAAGTGATTGATGATGATCTGATTTACAATATGAGTATTAAAATCAACATTTCTATATGCCTTCGATATATCAGGATTCAACATTTGCTCAAGGACTTTTGCATGCTTGCTGAGACTTATATTCAGCTCTCTCTGTGATCCCTCTGAGTGACTGATTGGGCCAATCACTGCAAGCTTGGTTTTGAGTTCAGTGAGTATCGATTTCTGATCAACAGAAATAGTAGGGTCATGATCTGATCGCATACTCGCCAACGCCTGTTCAATTTCACAGATGACCTGGTCGATTATCTCTTTGGATTTGGAAGATGACAACTTTTGCTTTTTTGCAACTCTCTCAAATGAATCTCCTATATTACTAAGCTCCATTCCCCCAGCCCTTATCTAGTTTCTGCGGGGAAAAAAAAAAAGGAGCTTAAAAATGAGTTTACCATTGCAAGGGGACAACTTCAATTCTAAAATTACAGACCAAGCTTTGTTCTAACCCCTAATTTAGTTTCAGATACTTCCCTAACCAGAAAATTGTAATTCGTGAGAAAATCAAGGAAGTGCAGGCTTGGAGATCCAAACACAAACCATGGCTTGTTATACGATCACCATAACTCAATGTAAAACCTGAATTTATAATGTAGATTTTACCTTATGTTTCCTCCTTAACATTGCCCAATGGTGTCTAATCCACTTAACCAAACATATCACAAACTTTCAAAGTTGCACAAAGTTATAGACACTGCATTACCTGAGGAAGATGATTACTCAACACATGACAGCAATTTATACTCTGATAATCAGGAAACAATTAAAATTTTCATATTTTGACAATCAATGGTAGCACGTGTAGGTTTTACACCCTAAGAAGATTCTTAACCACCCAATGGACTTGCAAAATAGGATGAAGTATGAAACATAAATTATAAGTACGAATCATAAAGTCATTATCTCATTCATGTTTAGGAAATAGCATTTCTTCCTCGATCCCGTATGTTTTCCAAATTGCCTTTCGATTGGAAACATCTACTTTCCCTGAATTGCTTTTATGGTGATGAAGATATGGAAATGCAAAATCAAAAAACTGCAAAGATGTGCCAAAGAAATCCAAGAAACCATGAGGATTAACAGTTGATCAACTAATGCGCGACCTTTAATAAACAATAACCACGCCCAAATAATAATCAGATTACATTCAAGTAAATGAACTTAAATATTCCACAATCTTTAACTGAAGAGGACGATAATACCTTGTAAAAATCTCAAACCCTTAGAATAACACAGAGAATTCCATCAACAATGGAAATATAAGTGGGAGTATATTATGCATGTGGTCCATTCAAAACTCGTTGCAGTGACAATTACAAAATCATTGATACTGAAAATATATAAGGACTCTTCGAATTAAGAATTCGATCAAAGAAAATTTAAATTTATTTTCACTTAAACTATAACACAGCTTCATGGCCTTCTTGCTTTGGCTGCAAAGGGAGCAGAAACATTTAGCACAAACTATAAAACCCACAACTAAATTAAGCATGTGCCCATATTAATCAAACAATGAATTCCGTTCTAATTACCCAAATTGATTCTTCGACAAAACATATGATTCAAAAAATTGGAAATTAGTCTCAAGAAACGGAAAGAAACCAAAAAATTTGAAGCAATCATGAATTCTCATGTAAATGGAAATAAATTAAGACGGATTAATCCTGATCAGGGCAGTCTGATCACATCAAAAATAAATTTAAAAAAAAACCTGAAAAAGTATACAGTATTATATGGAGAAAAAAGAATTAAACCACATACCAATAAAATGCCGAAATTTTTGTGCGAATTAGAACTGAGGGAACCTGAGCGACTAACATAGAAAAATAGAGAACAGTAGTAGGAACAAACGTGGTATTGATTATTGACACGTGGATAAATCTTTTTCTTTTTCTTTATTTATTGGGAAATTCTCTTCGTCTTCGTCTTCTTCGTCGTCGTCGTCTTTTTTTTTTTCTTTTTTCAGATGGAAATTTATTAATAAAATAATAAATGCGACAGGGTAACATTTTTTATTTTTTTTTTGTTAAACCGTAACAATTGTTATTTGGATTAATTTTCTGTTTACAGTTTTAAGTAATAATTATTGTACTGATTTATTGTAAAGAAAATAAAAAAGTAGTATTCTATTTAATTTTTTTCTCAACGACGAATTTTCATTTATTTCTTAATTTAAAATCACATTTTCAACCTAAAGCAAGAAAAAAAATGGCAAAATTCAAAGAGAGTACATCAAATAGAAACTAGGAGTGTTATATATTCAATAAATTAATGTAATATTGGACCGAACTCAATAATACAATATACAAAATTCTGACTAAAAATATTACCCGAGGTTGCTAAGCTCTCGGGTTCCTACACGTACAGGAGGGACTAGTTAATGTCCCAAGACAGTTCGACACATGATCCCAAAAAGAATTACAACAATACTCAAATGAGAATAATTTGCCCGATGGAGGAATTTTCCTTCCAAACAAAGAATAACAAATTGTCACTTCAAAAAACTCACTTCTGATTCTGTTCGATCTTGGCTCGAATCTTCTGCTCCAATACAGAGATCTCTGTATCGAGGTTGAATATTCTGTTAAGTGCATGCATATTTTCCAGTATCTCACTCAGACTCCGGTTTTCAGAGCCATCACATCGTAAATGTTGCATTGGGCCGTGAAGTAGTTTGTTCACGATTCCTACACTAAGGTCGTAAATAGCTTTCTTTTGGTTCTTTGGAATATCGTCACCCATTTTTGACAAACACTTTTCAAGCTCGGACGCCCTAATTCTTTCTGAATATGCTCTAAGCTTCTTGATGGTTGGAACAGTCTCAAGGGAGTCCTTCCAGGCTTCAAACTCTTTCACTTCGTCCTCAATGATTACCTGAGCATCCATTGCTTTTTGCAGCCGGTCCTCCTTGTTACTGGCCACAACTTCCTTCAAATCATCCACGTTGTAAACTTGAGCAGTTTCAAGATCTGAAACACATGATCCCACGTTTCGAGGAACAGAAATGTCAACAAATAACCTCCGTCCTCCAACTTCAGAGCTCACCGGGGGGAGCATCTGAACTATCTCTTTCGTAAAAAGCACAGTTTCTGAAGCAGTGCTGGTGAAAACCACATCTGACTCAGCAGCGCATGCCAAAATTTCGGAGAGAGGTTTATAAACTATTTCAACATCCTTGAGCTCTTTTTGGATAGCAGCAACTTTGTCTAGAGTTCTGTTAGCAACCACTATTTTTGTGCACCCTTTTGCCGCCAAGTGTTTGATCACAAGTTTCCCCATCTTACCAGCTCCAACAACCAACATTCTAGCAGTAGCGTGAGAAGATTCAGGAAGTTTCATTAAAGCAAGCTCAACAGCAGCTGAACTGACTGACACCGACCCTGTGGAAATACTAGTCTCGGTTCTAACACGCTTTCCAACTGTGATTGCATGCTTAAACAGCCCGCTGATTTTCCGGTCAAAGCCAGGGACGCCCTGACCAGTTTTAACAACATGTTTTACCTGAGAAAGAATCTGACCTTCACCTACAACAAGGGAATTGAGCCCAGCGGATACTTCAAACAAGTGCTGTGTGGCATCTTTATTATAGAGCAAAAATCTGTGTTGGCAAATGTCTGAAACTGGCACGGCACTTATCTACAATAAACAGATATACAAACTCAAATACCATTCATTTATTTATGTACATAAAGACAAAACTTAGAACTCTTGTTTGCGGAATTCCAGCGATGAATATGATATGGGGAAAGAGGTCTACAAGAGCAACTTATATATCATTAAAGTATTCTTGGGTAAGCCCTACTGGGCTATTTATGTTTTACCGTCTTAGTGAACCCAATTGGCAGCAATCAAAGCTGACGTAAGAAATAACATGACATGTTGCAAAAAGTAAGCCAACAGTAGAATCTAGACAAATCATTTGCAACAGCACAGACCTTTTGGCCATTAGGCCTATATAAGATCATTTTTCAGACATTCTATTCTCATTTACCTTTTACAACAGAGATATCATGATTAAACCTAAACCAAAAAAATCAATCTGCATAGATTTTCAAGTCAAACTTGCACATTATCAAAATAGAAATTAATTCCTACAACCCACTAGTGACTTTCTAAGTTATGTTTATGAGTGACAGATGGTGCAACAGTTAAAGCAATCTTCTCCTCAGAGGTTATAAAAAGAAATAGGTAACACATGAAAAGGAGCATACTGGTACCTTAGACATCCATTCAGTCACCTCTTTAACCCCTCGATGCTGAGAAAGAGCCACAACATATATTTCCATTCTGTTGCAAGTACTAAGAACAGCAGCTTCCTCTATATGATTCAAAGCACATAATTCACCAATCACTTGAGGCCACTGTGCTTCCGGAATAGAAAGCTTTTCACGAATCTCAATTGGTGCAGTATGGAAGTTAAGCCCTACAACCACAATACTGCTAGTTTCTTTTGTATATCCTGAGAATAAAAATCACGAATATTTAGATCGTTCATATATAATGTTTAGTATTTATCTAACAAGCATTTAGAGAATCACAAAAATTTGATATAGTTAAGCATATTTTTGTTTCTTCCAAGACTATAGCAGCAACATCCAATAAATCAAAACCAGTTACTGGTAAAGAAGTAGGCTGGCAAAATCTTACATCTCGCTTTTCATAAAACAGAAAGAAAAAATAAGAGAATTATACAAGTGGCCACCAGGGTCGTAACTAACTAAATATTTTGATATTCAACGAACAATCCTAATCCACAGAATTATTTACTTATATGTTACTTTTTTGCAGTATTTATTCCATATATTTTCATTTCTTTTTTATTTTTTCCACATTTTTTGTGCGGCTACTATCAAACTTTATTTGCCTAAAATTCTTTTGAGTAATCAACATAAAAGAAGCTCTTATAAAGGAAATTTCATCCAGTTCTGGATCCTTTTTGCTCGAACCTTCCCTGTAACTTGTGAGGCTGATGCCCATACCCGGCCTTGGACAATTACGGGGCAACTCATCTCCACTGGCATTTTCAACCGGCTGAGCTTGTTTTCATTCTTATGGAGACTAGTGTTAAATAATCCTCATGGGATTTTTATGGGATTATTGTGCAAAACTATTATTAAAATGCCAAACTGAAATTAAATAATTATCAATTTTAACATCAAAACCAAAGCAGTTGGATCAATCATCTTGAACTATTTCAAAAATCAGAATAATAGCAGCAAACATATCCTACACATATAAGATGTCAATTTTTTAGAAGAAAACAAAAGCTAAACACGATATTCTATTCTTTATGCAATGCATATGCAAAAGCACCAAAAATAAAACAAAAATGTCCATGCTTTTCAAAATAAAAAATCAAACGCAAACTACAATAATTTTATAGGGAAAATAATGACACTTACGATCAGCTGCCGATGTCTTCAGAAGCTCCAAAGCCGAAAGACTTGACGCCATGGATTTGCTCGCTGCGCCGGAAGCAACCTCACATCTAGGGTCTAACGTTAAAGACCGCGTTTCAGAAATGACTTTTTTAAACCCCAAATTATTGCTAAAAAATCTTGTTTTCGAAGAAAGAAAAGGCGAATCAGGAATGCTGGATGCATTGCAAAACTCCATTTTCAGCTTTTGCTCAGAATTATTATAATTATTAACAGAAAGAGAGGTCACGAAGCCACGCGCCGCCGCCATTGTAAAGCAATTGGGGATTATTTTTTCAGCGGAAGAACTTCGGAACCCCTGCATTTATTTGTAAAGGCCATGGAAGGTTGAAATGGGACGGTGGACGGCGGGGACGCGTTCGTTGAACGAATTTGTCAAACGTTGGAATGGAATTAGGTGTGAAATAATTGACTGACGTTTATCAGAAATTTCAATTTAGCAATCGAGTTATGGAGAATTGGAGTAAATGGTCACTAATCTTTAAATCTTGGCGCAAACATTTCTATCCTTTCATTTAATGGACGAAATTGATCTTCTTAGATGGTTTTCGTCTAATTTGACTATTAAAAAGTCGCAGTTTTGACAAAAAAAAAAAAGACTAAAATATCTTTCTTTTTTTTTTAGTAAAAATATGTATGATAAATAATTGGAAAAGGCCACACTGTCAAAAAATAAGGTGAAAAAAAATATGACAAAAAAAAAAAACTAATTTGACCAACCAATCTCTCATAAGAGCTTTTTCTCAATGTAAATGTAGATTGCTTTAAAAAAATTACCAAAAAAATAGATATATGGAAAATACCTCTCTAACGCAAGTTAAAAGGAACTTCGTTGAAATAGTAATGAGGTAAATATCGTGTTTTCCCTGAAGTGAGGGGTGTTCCTCCTGCTCCAATCAATGTTTGCTACCTGTAAAATGAGGTTGGAGCTTTCTCCCCCATTGTACTTTCGGCGTGAGAATTAGTGTTTGGTCTTAGAGAATAGGAAGAGATTGAGTGGAATTCAAATAGTTTGGATTTCAAGAAGAAGTTACATTTTTCACCTTGAAGGTATTTATAGGCACCTGTTGCTACACGTTCGGCAGTTGCTGGTACCACGTGTCCCACGTAAACCTCCCCACTTTCCCCATGTTCTGGTAGAGTGATCCCCATTTTTCATGTGGTTGGTTGTACCCACATTTGATGTTTGGTGGTTTTTGTCCAACTCATTGTCATTTGTATGGTTAAGTGTAGCATTGGCCTCATAGTGGCGACGGCCTATGTAAACCTAGAGGGCCTCATGGGGGTCGACGGCCTCATAATGGTAGATGGCTTATTTGAACGTAGAGGGCATCATGGGGGTCGACGGCCTTATAGTGGTAGACGGTATATGTGAACGTAGAGGGCCTCGTGTGGGTAGGCGACCCCATGAGGTTGACTTCTTTATAGTAGTAAGTAACATATCATATGGTGCTCTACGTGGGGTGCATATCAAGTAGCTCTTACCTTAATGACAATCGTGGAGAATTATTAATATCATATTATATCATTCGTGAACATAATGAAGCAGATAAAGTTAGATATTAAAAGACTTTCAATCAACACGAAGTTGATGTCAAATGAGTAGATACTCAATTACAAAATTGGTTTCAAATAATGAATTACTATATAGATGTCCCTTATATTTCTTAAAATAATAATAAAAGCACATTTAAATCTACGTATGAAATATAAATTTGCTAAGACAATCGTCTAAAGGAGTCCTTAAACTAAAAGGGAGCACTTGAAAATAGTTATTTTTTCTTTGCGACATTATCTTGACGGAGTCCCAATCAATTTGCATTGGAGGGAAAAAAATTCAACACATACTATTTCACTTATATGGCACTATTTTGAGCAATCCATGGTTGCATTGACAACGTTCTTACTGAGATTTGGTCCGTAAAATGAGTTGACTTTTCTTTTTGTCTTCTAATTTTTGTCTTTTGCTTATTTAGTTTAATTATTTAACTAAAATGGGAAATTTAAGTCTTTTTAACAAAAAGTTTGACCTTTTTACCGATCAATTCGATGAAAACTATTTAAAATTTTAAAATGACCAATTGCGTCCGTTAAGTGAAATATTGGGATAGCTTGCACCAAGGTTTGAAGATTATGGACCATTTTCACCAAGCTTTGAGGATTAGGGACCATTTCCGTCCATTTTCCTTATTTTATTATTTTTACTTTATCTGTCATAACGTTTATAATAATTTAACAACAATAATGTTACTCTAAACAGGTATTGGAAAAGGGTGCTAAGTTGTCAGCACGTGTATGAATTTTTCAATAACGCATGTGTCATGTGTTCCCATATTTTAAAAAAATAATGATACTTGTACATCACCCCTTACACAAGAGGTGACATAATGTCCAAGTGGCGTCTCCTCATTGAAGGGGTGCCGAGGCCCCACATACACAAGGGGTGATGTACCTGTAGCAAAATCGATTTTAAAATATGTCATTGAACATGTCGTTGTATCATTACTCATTTTACAATTACTCTCTTGATTAAAAAAATTAAGTACAATTTGACTTGTCGAGATTAAGTGCCACAATAGATAATATGTGGGCAAGATTTCTTTGTAAGACTAAAATTTCACATTTTTCTTTGCAGCCACAATATTTGGAGTATGTTTGGAAGTGATTAAAATTCAATTACAATTGAAAATATAGTTGTTATTGGGTCACACTAGTCTAATAAAAGTCAACAATAACGGCTAATTTTTCAATTTTAATTCGATTTTAATCTCTACCGAGCACGTCCCAAATCTTTCACTTTGTCTCAAATTTGACTCAAACCTTCCATTTGTGTTAATCACGATATCAAACATTTCCAAAATTCCATTTGATTTCTAATTGACCAACTGTAAAAAGAGCATAATAGTAACCTTACAATTTTCACAAAAAATACGATTATAATAAGGGACAATTAAATCATCAAAAAATTCAAAAAGAACAGCTGCTCCACCATCTGTCGACCACCACCACCCATCGACGCCAACACCACCGTCATAATCCTAAACCTTGCAGGGAACAAAATTTTGGGATAGACCACCCCACCCCACCCCCACCCCGACCGTGACCCCAAATCAAAATCAGAAAATTCATCGACCACCTGCTTTTAGTGATGGCAAAAAAACCTGTCCCGCCCCGCCCCGCCTCGCCTCGCCTCGCCCCCGCCCCGAATGGAGAGAAAAAAACATGCCCTGACGGGTTGGTGGGGCAAGGCCAGGAGGGGGTGCCCCACCCATAAGCGCCTTGAACCCGCCCCGTGAAAAATAAAAAAATAATAATTAAATACAAATTAAAAATGAAAAATAGTTAGTTGGAAGTTTTTTTTTAAAAAAATAAACGGGGCAGGAAACGGGGCAAGTCCGCTCCCCGAACCCGCCCCGCCCGCCTAAGGTGGGTCAGGGCACGGGGCGGGGTGGGAGTGCCCCGCCCCATTGCCATCTCTACCTGCCTTTAAGCATTTCATCAAACATCTTCAGAGCACTTTTAAAACACCCACTGTTTTTATAAGCCTCAATCACTGTTTTTTAATGCGTATTATAATTTATGAATTTAGTACTCTTATATCTACCTATTACAGAATATCATTACTCCTAAAGTAGCACACTATTATTTACATACTAGGTTTAAGCAACATGCAATATCACTAGGAGATGGGGTCCACTCGAATATTTTATTAGAGTGGACCCCACCTATGTGAGCGTTATGTATACCACTATGTACATAAATTATGTACACCAAGCATATATCATATGGAAAATACCTCTCTAACGCAAGTTAAAAGGAACTTCGTGAACATAATGAAGCAGATAAAGTTAGATATTAAAAGACTTTCAATCAACACGAAGTTGATGTCGAATGAGTAGATACTCAAGTTCAAAATAGGTTTCAAATAATGTATTACTATATAGATGTCCCTTATATTTCTTAAAATAATAATAAAAGTACATTTAAATCTACGTATGAAATATAAATTTGTTAAGACAATCGTCTAACGGAGTCCTTAAACTAAAAGGGAGCACTAGAAAATAGTTATTTTTTCTTTGCGACATTATCTTGACGGAGTCCCAATCACTTTGCATTGGAGGGAAAAAAATTCAACACATACTGTTTCACTTATATGGCACTATTTTGAGCAATTCATGGTTGCATTGAAAACGTTCTTACTAAGATTTGGTCCGTAAAATGAGTTGACTTTTTTTTTTTTTGTCTTCTAATTTTTCTCTTTTTCTTATTTATTTTAATTATTTAACTAAAATGGGAAATTTAAGTCTTTTTAACAATAAAGTTTGACCTTTTTACCGATCAATTCGATGAAAACTATTTAAAATGACCAATTGCGTCCATTAAGTGAAATATTAGGATAGCTTGCACCAAGGTTTGAAGATTATGGACCATTTTCACCAAGCTTTGAGGATTAGGGACCATTTCCGTCCATTTTCCTTATTTTATTATTTTTACTTTATCTGTCATGACGTTTATAATAATTTCACAACAATAATGTTACTGCTCAGTTGTCAGCACGTGTATGAATTTTCCAATAACGTTGTGGAGAGAGGCTTGGTGTACCGGGTCCCTCACAATTGGGGGGCCCACATTTTTTTTTTCAATTTTTTATTCATGTGGAGCCAGCCATCATGTGAGAATTTATCAATTTTTTTATCAAATAATTTTGTACAAGTAAACTTTTTCAACGTTGTGTCATGTGTTCCCATATTTTAAAATATGTCATTGAACATGTCGCTGTATCATCACTCATTTTACAATTACTCTCTTGATTAGAAAAATTAAAGTACAATTCGACTTGTCGAGATTAAGTGCCACGATAGATAATATGTGAGCAAGAGTCCTTTGTAAGACTAAAATTTCACATTTTTCTTTGCAGCCTCAATATTTGGAGGATGTTTGGAAGTGGTTAAAATCCAATTACAATTGAAAATATAACCGTTATTGGGTCTCACTCGTCTAATAAAAGTCAACAATAACGGCTAATTTTTCAATTTTAATCCGATTTTAATCTCTACCGAGAACGTCCCAAATCTTTCACTTTGTCTCAAATTTGGCTCAAACCTTCCATTTGTGTCAACCACGATATCAAACATTTCCAAAATTCCATTTGATCTCTAATTGACCAAATATAAAAAGAGCATAATAGTAACTTTACAATTTTCACAAAAAATACAATTATAATAAGGGACAATTAAATCATCAAAAATTCAAAAAGAACAGCTGCTCCACCATCTGTCGGCCACCACCACCCATCGACGCCGA